ATGATGTATAGGTGGTACATGACTCCGAAAAAAATTGCAAATATGAACCAGAATATGTCAAATAAGTGTTGGAAATGTAAAAGCCATGAAGGCTCATTTTACCACATGTGGTGGACTTGTGAGAAAGCAGTTGACTTTTGGACAAAAGTCCACAAAGAAATGCAAAAAATTCTGAAATGCTCTTTTAAAAAGGCACCGGAAATTCTGCTTTTAGGATTGAAAATGGAAGAAGTCAATACAACTAAAAAGACCTTATTCTGGTACTTAATCACAACAGCGAGAATGATTTATGCACAATTTTGGAAAACAGAGAAGAGTGATACATGTTGCTCGAATTTATCTTAGGCAGTATTCTTGTCTCCTTGAGAACCTTTTGTATGTCCATAGACTTTGGACCTCCTGCCAAGTCATGGGTTTCTAAACCACTTTGAAAACTGTTTTTCTGGAGGGGATGTGAAAACTTTTTCAGCGCCTGTAGTTTTCAGTACTCTAGTTAGCTTTTCAGTTTTATTGCCATCATCTAATTTTATAGGGACTTAAACTTTACCTTTTTATAATCTCATCCACTGCACAAAATATTTTCATGGTTTGTTTTGTTCTGTCCTCTGAAACCTGTATAAATTTTTAAAGGGAGTGGTTGTAATTTTATTTTTATTTTATCGTCCATGAAACCTATGCCTTTTTATGTTGCTTTGTGTAAGGGAACTCAGCTTTCCATTAAGGAAACTAATTTCTATTTAGAAACTAATTCTGTGGTGTTAAAGCTAAATCACAAAATCACCTTGCATTTGACTGAAAAAAATAGGGAAATGAGCATCAGAATATCCTCAAAATTGTGAAGAAAAGCTTGAACCTTTGGTTCAATAAGTACAAAAATCTCAGCTGAATAAGTACAAAAATCTCAGCTGATGAGATTTCTGTGGATGGGACTAAATATAGCATTCAACATAGGGCTTCTGTCAAATGCTGCAAGTCCATGTTGAATTCACCTTTTCTGTGTAACATACCTGTGGTGCTTCCATGCCTCCTCCAGCAGCAGTTAGCTATCTATAGTAGGGGAACTGCAAAGCATGACAATATAACGCCTGCTTCATTCCTACACATGCGCTGATGAGATGGAGCACCTGTCCTCCCCAGCCTCTGTTTTCTACTGCTTAGACTACAAGTAGTTACTAATCTACAACTGATCTACATTAAGTGGTTTTGAGAATGTACTTTCTCACCCCTAACTCTCGTTCCTTGTATTCCCTTTCTGTTGTGCTCCCCAGTCGACTCCTTGTCATGAAAAAATTAGGATTTTCTAACACACCCTTTGATAAGAATAGATGATGCAAATTGAGTGAGCCATTTTGTCAGCTTGCATTACTTATTCATCAGAATTAAATTTGTTTGACACTGAAGAACACAGCCATGCTTGGATGGCTAGACAGCATCCTTCCTTTCAGGATTTTTTTCCTTTGAGCAAAGTTGCATATTGAAGTACTAAAATGCTTTCCAACACTATTGGTCATAGTCGATATTATTTTAAAATGTGACATGTGGAGCAGATGTGCTTGTCAGAAAAGCAATTTATAGATATTTTATATAAATGCAAGTATTCTGAAAAATATATCCAGCGACTTACATAGAGCATGATCTGATACAGCATGTTTGTTTTAGACTTAAATGTTTTAGACTTAAAATTTCCACCACCTGAGAAGAGGCAAATGAGAATTTTATTTAAATGTCTTTATGGCACCATCTAACATGCCAAAAGTTTGTCTTTCTTTGAATGTGCTCATTGCTAATTAGATCCTCTCAGTGCCTCTGATCTACCAGTCCAAACCAAGTGTCTTGTTAGGTTTTAATAATCAGTGTTGGTTTTGCATTTCAGGTTTTTGGCTGAGTCTTAGATGGTGTTTTTTGTTTGGTCTGATACTGTAATCGCTTTATGACTGATCATAATCTGTCTTCAGCACAGGCAGCATGGTCATAATGTATAAATAAACAAAGAAGTGGCACATTCTGCCACTAGAAATGAGATATGGTTTTAAATCAGGTGTTTGATTTTCTGTGATACTGAATAGGTCTATTAATATCAATTTCTAATACAATTCCATTTGAACATATTCTTATTTTGACTACATAATACCTTGGATATCCATTTTTACTTGCGAAAGTTTATATTGTTGCTGTCCTGGCAAAATGGCACTGTCATTTTTTTCTGTTTTGTCCATTAACTGGTTTTCATAATTAAATTCCTTTATCATATCTCTTTGAATGGTTGCATTGTAAATAGGAATGAAGATGCCATGTGAATAACTGTGTTCAAAGTCTCTTTGAAATATGTCTTCAGTGCTATTTTTGTTTAAGCATTTGTATACATTTTGGGGGGTTGTTTGGGTTGGGGGAGGGTTGAACTTCCAAGATGAGTTCCCTGCACAAAACTAAATGTCCTAATGATCCAGTGTTGGGTGCAGGTGTCATTAAAATCAATAGAACTTTAAAATATTTGCTTTCATTTTGAAGTACTGCGGGTATAATGAACTGTACTTAATGAAGGTATTGTGTTAGTCTATAATGGACATGATTTTTCACTTGATGTGCATTTTTATGGGCATCGATGTTTTACTAGGTTCATGGCTATCTTTCTGTGGAAATGGATATTTTTCTACACTGTTGTCCTGGGTACGGCAACCTGCTTTGTCTCTGGGGTTTGGGGATCATTGAGAACAGCATGACGTGGGCTGCAGTGGGAGTGGCAGTCATTGGGAATCTAATGCAAATGGAACGAAGCATAGGATCCAGCTGTTGAGAAAATCCTGAGTTTCAACTAAAGTAGCTTTTTTTGTGCCTTCAGTTATGGTATTTGGATATCTACATCTGTAAAATATGTAAAAATACATCTGTACATATCTACATCTGTAAAAACATGATGAAATCGGGAGATGAGGTAGTGGTTGCCCCAGTTGCTGCTAGACGTCTTCTAATGTTTTCAGTAGTCTCTTTGACTCCTTAGTTTAGTTAAGGAGTATGGGAAAATGAAACAAGTAGTCAGACAACTAAAGCATAAGTGGAGAAAGACTCACAATGAATACTGCCAAAATGTGGATTAGTGGTGACTATTTTGTGGCAGTAATGGAAACATCACATTTCTCTGCCACAGTTGCATCTGTGCAAGAGTTGTTTGTCTGAGGATGGGGACACCTTCTTTGAGGGCCCATAGAATTGGACCAACTTGTCCAATCTTTTTGAAACTTGGGAGGGTCTTTTGAGTAGAGGCACCAGAAGCTATGCTGAAAATTCAGTGCTTCTGCCTCTAAAAACAGACCTCCACATACCCCCGGCTAAATTCCCCATTATAGCCTATGAGGATCATTGACTATAATGGTCCCCGTGGGCTATAATGGAGCCAAAGGCATTTAAAGGTGTCACAGTCCTTTTAAATGTGTTTGTGAAGCTGCATCTTTGCCTGGAACAGCATTTAAAGGAAGTGCACTCTCTTTAAACACTGTTTAACTATTCTGTTTTCCTGGATAATCCCGAATTTTGGGGGATTATCCAGGATTGGCTATGCTCGATACAGCCCCCCTCTGTATCTCACTGAAAGAATAACTGATAAATACCACCTTTTTTGGTGTAGTGGTTAGGAGCTTGGTGTAGTAGTTAGGAGCGCAGACTCTAATCTGGGAGAACCGGGTTTGATTCCCCACTTCTCCACATGCAACTGCTGGTGTGACTTTGGGTTAGTCATAAATTCTCTCAGAGCTGTTCTCTCAAGGGCAGTTCTCAAGAGAGAGCCCCAGCTACCTCACAGGGTGTCTGTTGTGGGGAGGGAAAGGGATTGTAAGCCACTCTGAGACTCCTTCGGGTAGTGAAGGGTAGGGTATAAATCCAATCTCTTCTCTCTTTCTGTTCTTCTGCTCAGATAGAACCAAATATACACCCCTACTGCGAATGTTGTATTGTGTTGGTTCGCTCTCACTTGTATATAGTCTTGTCAAAATTAGGCTTTGTGAATTACTTTCTGCAGTGAACTCAATTTAAACATTTCTTTGGTATATCCTTGCTCTTGTATTTCACAGTCTCCATTAAAACATACATACACACTGTAATAATTATCAACAATGTTGTTGTGTATTGTCAGTATTTAGCAGTAATGGTAAGGTTTACCTTTACTTTCTGACGCAGTTATGCCTTTCTATAGTGACTAGATGTAATGAATATTCTGATGCTATATCAGATTTTTAATGTAGGGGGATGATTTGGCAGGAATGATCGGGCTGTCTGGAGTATTGCTCGTGTGTTACAGATTTTTGAATTTTAAAGGGCCATGTTTCATCTTAACATTTGGTTGTATAATTCATTTGTCGTATGGTCAGCAAGGATAATTATCTGATTAAAATATGATGGTGCCCATGTGAATATATTTCTGTAGATCCAAACTATAAATCTGAACTTGAGTTTGTGCCTTCAGTTTACAGATGGCACTTGAACTTTCCTTGTAGGTGAAACATTTAAAATAATTGAAGGATGTTCCAGAGTGGGAACATTGTTGTTTAGAAGGTTTCCATATGAACTGGAGGCCATGAATTTTAAAGCTGATGTTATTTTATAAGAAAGCAAGAAATGAATTGGTTGGATAAATTCATAGGGGATAGCTGAATTGATAGCTGTGACCCATCACAGACAGATAGAGCCTCCATGACAGAGGTAGTATTGTACTGAATGCCAGGCGTTGGTGCCAAATGGGACTTTGGAATCATAGTCCTGCCCTGCATTAGTAAGTTTTCAGAAGCATCAGGGTCGCTTTTAGAAATGGGATGGTGGATTGGATGGTTCTTGGTCTGACCCAGCAGGAAATTTGTCTTTTTATGTTGCATTTTGTAATGACCATGATGAACTTCACTTGAACTGAACACATTTTGCACAGGATTAAATCTAGTTTGCCCCCCCCCCACTGCCTAAATCAAAATTATACTTGTGTGCTCTGATGCTACAAATGTTTGTGTGTATTACAGGTGAACTGGCAAGATGTGGAGCAACAAACAAAACGAGGTGCCTTTACAAAATCCAAGGTCCTCCCTCAACAGGGATTCCATCAGAGGTATGTGTTTCATTTGTTGTATCCTGAGTTTGTAAACTGCTTTGCCAGATTCCTTAAAAATTGGCAGCATGGCATGTGTCTGTGTCATGCAGCTTGCTGTGTGTGGAACAGTAGTTTCCAATTCTGTGTTGGAACACAGATGGCTAATAGTGCAGAGAAAGCTTTCCAGACCACAGGATGCTGGATTTCTTTATTTGCCTTCAGGTTGGCTTTTGCAAACTTCTCAGCAGATATTGCACAGAATGGTATTAATGTACAATTCTAATCACAGTTCTTTTAGAAGGGAATGGCATCACTTTTAATTGTTGTTCTGTGGCTTGTGGCAAAATCATTTTTAAAGCTGTCTGCATCTTCTAGAAGAAAACAAGCTATTTCCGATGCTTGTTTGTTTATTGTCTGCTTTTCTCACTGACACTCAAAGTGGACTATATAATGTAAGTCAATACAATCTGTACGATGAGGAGGCATCTAATAAACTATGTAATAGGATTAGGATTGCGGAAATCTGAAACAAGGCTGAAGTATTAAGCCTGTATTAATGCAAGCAATGGTATCACATAAGTAGAAATATAATGTAGTGGCAGCAAGATAAAACATATGAATTTTCTTAGATTTTTATTGCTCTTTTTTGTTGCAAATTGGTTTTCAGAGCAGCTCGTAGGACTCTGAATCCCAAGTATTCCTTGGGATTCTCAGCTGAGCTGGATCCAGGCACAATAAAGCATTGACTGATCATGTCCTACCTTTCTGGCCACATCAGTGGTATGAGACATTAAAACCTTCTTGCAGAAGCACATATTTTGACTGCCTAATTAAGAACTTTTACATCTTTTTAACATCTTTTTTTTTAAATCAGCATCTTTTTAAAATTACCTGAACAGTTTTAAGTTTGAGGGCCACTGCTTCATATACTGTCTTCATATGAAAGTGCATTTTGATGCAGATATGATGCAGAAAGCATTTGCAGTAATTTACAAAGTGTAATTTGTCCCATGTAAAAAGGATGAGCTTTTGATAGCTTTTTTTCTTCTTGAAAATAGGCATTTTCTGTTCAGATGAAAAAGCCTAGTAATTAATGGAGCAAATAAATGCATACTGTAACTAGTACAAACTATTTAAAAATAGCCATGCAAAATATTTGTCATAGAAGTGATCTTTGAATTTAAGAGGGAACTTGTTTGGAATTCTTTCTGCAGACTTAACTACAGCATGGGATGCTTTTTCGCAGACTAAAGCAGCGGTAAGTACTAAAATATGTGAAAGCTCATGACAGTCATATTGGGATGTACTCTTTCCCGATAGTTCTAAAATTATTAAAGGAAAAATTATAATTTTTCAGAGTGTCTTGGCAGCATTCAAGGACAGTGGAAAGTTCTGATTTGTGTCTTTCGGCAGTACAGAATTTCCGTTTATTGGAAAACTTCACTCACATTCCTGCCATTGTGAACTGCAGATAACACATCAGGAAAAGACTACCCACAAATGCATGCATGTATATGCACACGCACGCACACAATGCCACATTTAAAACTATTATGTCCCTTTCAGTTCAAACACCCCAGTCCTGTGCCCTGTCATTCTGATATCAGTCATGAATAAGTGTCCTTATTTGGACTGACGGTGCAGGAACCACTCCTGGGGGTAGAAAGGAGTGCAGTTTTATCAATATCTGCCATATCTCTCACTGTAAAGGTACCATACCAAGAAGAGTTGTGTTTCACTGGATAAGGTATTGAACTGAAGCTGTGGAAAGTAGTAATGTATCCATTTTTTAAAAAGCTTTCAATATTTCTTTTGTATAAACCTGATCTGGCTTTAGATAACTTTGTTTTAGTTTTTCATTTCCCAAACACATTTTCACCTATAACTCCCTCCCCCAATCTAATTTGAGTAGCATTTCCTAGGAGTATCCTTCTCACCCAAAGGAATCTTTTTGCCACATTTCAGGTAGATAGAAAAGCAAGGGTCCCCATTTTTATGTACAGTTAAAATTATCACTTGCTGAGGGGCAAAATGCAGGCAGGACAGAAATAATATGTAAATAAAATGCCAATGGGGAGACAACATATTTAGCAGGAAGGCAGGGTCATTAATTTACCGGTCTAGTTGAGATCCTGGGAGGGCAGGTTACAGTTTGTGGCGCTACCAGTAAACCCGTCTGTCTTCTGCATGAGGTGGGGGGGTGTCTTCGTCTAGGATGTCCTTCTCTCTCTTATAAATGAGCCCCTGCATTTCACATCTAAAGCAGGGAGGGGGAATCACAAGAGCAGAGTATATTGAAAACAGGAGCTAAGCTCCTTTGTGTCTTACTGTGCTGTACTTCAGTCATTTGAGTACTTTTTTCCGTAGCCTGGTTTGCTTCTAATATCAAGCCTGGCTGGGAGAAAAATCTCAAGAAAATGGAGAGAAGGGGCAGGGTGGGAGAGACACACAAGGAGATGAAAGATTTAGAAGTCCCTCCCCAATGTGCATGTACCCCTAAACAGTCTTCTTAACCCAATTCAATCCCATCCTGTCTTGAAGTTTAAAAAAGCCCACGGGAGGAAATCTCACTGCATTACATGCGGCTTGATTGTGAGGTAGATGCCAGTCTGTGCAAGGCTGAACAAAGGATGGTGAAAGAGTTCTCAGCCCAACTCTGCTCTGTTTCACTTGAAGATTTTCCAGCCACCCATGGTGCAGATCACACAATTTATAACACAGTGGTTTGTATGCTGTTTGCTTATGTACGCAAGAAGAGTTTTGAGTTTTTAATATGTGTTTTTAACTAACTTTAATTGTGTGTTTTATATATACATTAAAACCATAGCTGCGACACATTGAAAACAAGTTGGAAGTAGCTCCTACCAGCACAGCTATGTTAGATTCTGTCATGGATGCCAAGAAGCCATCTGCCAGTACTACCAGGAAAATAAGTAGAAAAGGTATGTATTACAAGTGTGAAGAATCCTTCCTCACAAATAGGTTTGTGGACAGTTGTTACTTCAAATTGAATTGCTGATTGGGCAGTATCTATACCTTTCATCGTACAGATGAAATGGTTGAGTGTAGGAGCCAATACTCCTATTATGAATCATCATAATATCCTGCAACAGGAAGCACATCTCCTTTGAATCTTTTCTTGTGTGGTTTCTGTTTGGGTGCTGATTGTAGTGATATTTGGCAGCATCGTAGAAACAAGGATAAAATATAATTTCAGGAAATTCTTTCCAGTCCTTTCTGTTTTTCTTTATCAGTGTTGCCATTATTATCAGTGTTATATAATCGTAAAATGGTTAGCCCCTGTATGAATGACAAAAGCAACACAAGAGGACCTCCTACTGAGAAAGCAGAAGTTTTTACCTACTCAAGGATTCCCCAGATAGGCAGAAAAATAAGACTTGTATTGAGAATCTTAGAAACAAAGCAGGGAGACGGGAAACTAGGCTTCCCAAGCCCCTGAGAGCTTATAGAATCTTGGAAGCAGGATATCTGAGACTTCCAAGTTTTTATCTCCTCTTTTAAATTATTCTTTATTAAAATGGCAGGCTCCTTTGCCAGTCGCTAGAACAGGGGTTTGGGGCTGGCTTTCATTGGGGGTATGGGTGAAATAAGCAACTTGCTGCTCACTAGTGGCCCCCACCCCTTTGGGGATCTTTAGTGCAAAGGTCAGAGTTAGCATTTTTGGAGGTGCCATGTCCAGATCCTTTTTCAGGGTATAGGGCAATTTCACCATAGCCTGTGATAATGATCGTGGTGGTGGTGGCGGTGAAGAATAAATTGATCACCTTCAAACCCAGCAGAAATGCTAGGGGGAAATTGCCTAACAGTTTCGAAAAAGGCGGCTGAGGGGACCCATATTTTTCCACGACTGCAAAGTTTACTCTAGAGTCTTTGGTGAAGGACCATGTCAAAAACCGTTTAGAAGTTCAGTTAATGTTTGTTGTTGGATTATCCTTATCCACGTGCTTCTCTGCCTTGTTGAAAAATGCCAAAAATGTTGGAGAGGCAGGATTTTCCTTTGCAGAGGCTACACCGATTTTCACCCAGCAGCCCTTGTTCCTCTTTGTGCTTAGGAATTCTGTTTTTAATAACAGTTTCTCCTGATCTACCTGGAACAGAAGTTAGACTTGCTTGTGTGTGTGCGCGTGTGTGTCAAGTGCTATCAAGTTGCTTCAGACCTATGGCAACCCTATGAATTAATGTTCTCCAAAACCTCCTGTCACTAACAGTCTTGCTCAAGTCTTGTGAAATGCAGACCATTGCTCCCTTGCTTGAGTCAATCCATCTCATGTTGGGTCTTCCTCTTTTCCTGCTGCCTTCCACTTTTCCGAGCATGATTGTCTTTTCCAGTAACTCTTGTTAAGCCATTAAGGTGTTAGGCTTACTGGCCTGTGATTACCCAGATCCACTCTGTGCCTTTTCTTAAAAATCAGCGTAACATTCCACCTTCCAGCAGGACTGATTTTAGTGACAAATTTTAGCAACAAGTTACATGTACTGGTTAGAAGATCAGCAGTTTCAGATTCAAGCTCCTTTTGGGTGCGTGCCCTCTGAAGCTGGAGACAGACTAGCTTGTCATTTTCCTTGTAGTCCTACAGTTTCATCTCTCATCACCTCAATTTGACTCAGTTGCTGAGACTCCTTTCCTGAAAACTTTGGTTCCAATGTGAATACATCCCCCCCCCCAATTTTCCATGATGAAAACAGATGTAAAGAAATCCAGTTTCTCCAGCATCTCCCCCACTTTCCTTACACAACCTTTTCAACTCCTTTGTCATCTAGCAGCCCAAATTGAGGGTCATATGGGAAAGCTTGGCCACCTGAGATGAGTAAGAGTTTATAGAATCCTGGAGGGGAAGATTCTTATGTCTGCAGAGGAAATACCCCTTTTGACAGCAAGTGCCCGTCAGCTGAGGCAGTGTCTGACAGACAGTTGTCAAAAGAAGCTTTTGGGTCCCCAGCAGAGGAGCTTTAAGAATTTTGCCAGAACCCAGATGCAGGAAAGCCCTTGTCAGCCCATATTGCAAAGATCCCATTCTTTGTCTGCCTCTTCTATGACTGGTGGTAGTGTGATGGGGCCTCTGTGGTTGCAGCGCCACAATTATGGGATGTCTTCCCTTTTGAGGCACATCTGGCACCTTCACTTTATGACTTTTTAGGACGGTAATAAATGTATTGCTTCTATCAAGCTTTTAGGTTGGCTTAGGCTTGGCCGTCTTGGAGATCTGAAATCCCTCCCCTTCCTTTTGATAACTATTCTTCCAGAGTTCCAAAATACTGACAAAACTGTGCGTCTTTAATTCTGAATACTGTCGCTACATCAATTGCATTAATTCTCATGCCAGTTTCGTGTAGTGGTTAAGTGTGCAGACACTAATCTGGGAGAACCAGGTTTGATTCCCCACTCCTCCACTTGCACCTGCTGGGTGAGCCATAGTTCTGTCAGAGCTGTTCTCTCAAGAGCTGTTATCTCAGAGCTCTCTCAGCCCCACCTACCTCACAGGGTGTCTGTTGTGGGGAGGGGACGGGAAAGGAGTTTGTAAGCCGCTCTGAGACTCTGAGTGAGGGGTGGGGTATAAATCCAATCTCTTCTTCTTCTATATATGTTTGCAAATTTTACATTATAAATCTGTCCCCTGGTTTCCTCTAATTGCTTATTTCTGCAAGCTTGAGACTGCTTACCAGATTAGTGATTTACTTACTATATTTAAGCAATAATGGAATCCCAGGAGCATTGTAGAGACCTAGATTTGTGATTTTTGTTTCAGCCTGCAGGTCTTCCAGTCACAAAAAGGAGAGGTCTCCCCGCTGCCCTCTACGTGCCACCACTTTGGATAGTAATGTGAAAAAGAGCGGACATGTTGAATTTCGTGAGCCCCTTGCTTCATTTAGGTCTGTATGGGGAAAAAAAACCCCACGATATTTTGCAATCATGTTGGTGAAGCCAAATTACAAGTATAGTGATTGCCGTCTTGTTCTTTTTAAGGGAAATCCCAAATTGGTTTTAGAGTCCTAAGTTTTGACCAGCTTTAGGTTGATTCGCATTCTGCTATGGTTTATTTTATTTTTAATAAATAAATGTTTTTTAAAAAATCCATTTAAAATAAATTGCTAGGGTTTATTGGTAGTAAAATGGGTAGTTTATGCCGACAAGGAAAGCAGAGAAACAGGCTGGCTGCAGACAAGTTCGAGCATTGATCTTCATTCTTTTGGGACCTACTGAACTACACACATATGACAGGAAGAAAGGAGGCAGAGTTTATGACCTTGCCTGTGTTCAATCAGTTCTTTATTCGGCCAACGACCAGTACAAGTCAATAATAAAAGCTTTACAATAATGTCATTAGAAAGTAAAATTGGTCCGATCTATTGGCAACAATTAGTTAAGATCTGTACATAAAATATCTCTACGAATTCTAAAGGCTACTGAAAAAAATTTGGCACAACTAATGGTAACCTGTTGATTAGCACCCATTAAAAATTTCTTTAAAATATAAACATCAGAACATCCAGGAAAATTGATAAGTAGAGGGGAAATTATATTAGAACGAGCTTCCTCATAGAAGCGACAGTGGAATAATACATGCTTGACTGACCCCACCTCTTCAGTGCCACACAGAGGCCCCGGTTACACGGAAGGTTTTGGCGCGGGAGAGGGACGGATCGGGGGTGCAGCAAATGGGCGCGATCTCACCGCAACATTTGGGAAGCGATGCGCACCTGTCCCCGATCCGGCCCTTCCGGCCAAAAACCCGCAGTTAAAAAGAACCACCCACAGAGGTGGACTTACCGGGAATGCCGCATCAAGCGCGGCCGTGGGATCGCCTCCGCGCACTTCGTCCTGAGCAATCCCGGCTCCCGGTCGAACTGTGCATGCGCAGTTCGGCTGCCTCGCTTCCCTTTCAGTGGCTTCCCCCCGGCATCTGATTGTGCCGGGGGGGGAGAGCGCGGCGGGCCAAGAGGTCTATGTGATCCCGCCGCCGTGTGTCTTTTTTTTTGCGGCTTTAAAAAGCCCCCGGTGTGGCAGGGGCCAGACAAATCCTTTCCTTCATGGGAATCTTTTTATATCTCTCCTCTAAAACTGCAGAGGGGAGGAGACCTTGCCTGTGAAAAGGGCAGGACCATGGACAGCAGATCAGAATTGCTGGGCATAGGCAAGGCAAGCACCAGGTGTGCTGTAGTCAGGATCAAGCCAAGGGTAAGGAAGGATCTTTTCCACTGCTGATGGTGCAGCCCTAAGCAGAATTACACCATTCTGGGTCCACTGATGTACTTGGGCTTAGAAGGCTGTAACTCTGCTTAGTCTTTCTGCTCTTGTTAGCATACATACCATGAGAGGCAGGAGGCATGACCTGTTTGCAGCTTGAGCAACTGATTCTCCCTAAAAGCAGCAAAAGGCAGGTCTGTCAGGGACTGCAGGTGCAACGTAGCAGCAGGTTTCCTCCCCCCCCCTCCCCGGAGTTCTTAACCTATGGGTTGAAAATCAATGAGGTACAGGTGTGATCATTCACAAGGAGCTCACAGGTATGCAAAAAATATGACTACAAATTAACTAAAAGGCTCCCCTCCAAAACAAAAACAAAAAACACCAGCATGCCGAGGACTGAGTACATATGAGGCATGAAATATTGAGAGTCAAAGGAAGGAAATAGAGGAAGATGGGGAAGTTGGCCTGCTTAGAGAATCCTAGTCAATTACTTTTTCATAATCTAGCAGGGCATAAACATGTCTTTTAAAGGGAAAAGATTTTAAAGATACTTTAACCAGGGAGTAATCTGGGTTTTCCACATATTCTGTAGTTTTTGGTAAAGATTGCATTGTAAGAAACCATATTAAGAGATCATTTATAAATTGGATATTTGCTCAGTAAGAGCAGTTCGTTCTTTTAAAAGCTCAAGATAACGTTTATTTGGGGTTTAATACAGCTTGATGAAGAGGAGCAGCGGTGGCTCAAGTGGTTAAGACGCTGAACTGCAGGCTGGAAGGTCGGTGGTTCAGCGGTTCGAGACCCGAGTGCCGCGTGATGGAGTGAGCTCCTGTCTCTGGTTCCAGCTCCTGCCAACCTAGCAGTTCAAAAGCAAGAAATTGCAAGTAGATAGATAGGTACTGCTTTGGTGGGAAGATAACAGCGTTCCGTGCGCCTTGGTGTTTAGTCATGCCGGCCACATGACCACGGAAACGTCTTTGGACAGTGCTGGCTCTTCGGCTTGGAAACGGAGATGAACACCACAACCCTAGAGTCGGATTCAACTGGCTTTTGAGCAGGGGAAATCTTTACCTTACAGCTTGATCAGAGTTGCATACAGCTTCCCACAATTGTTTTTATAGTGCAATATGCCTCTCTTGCTAGGGACGCACAGTGGTCCTCATCTTTTAAAACCTCTTGCCAGTTGGAGGAGATGCGTTTGAAGCATGAAGCAGTGAATAAGGCTGAGGAAATGAGTCATATGACCTATGAAAAGGATGGACCAGGTTTGCAAAATAGAGATTTCAAAAGCCCCTCTTCTGCAGATGAAACTGTTGTTCGATACTTGAACGACCGACCAGCAATCGATGCCTTGCAGAACTCAGATCCTTTCTTTAAAGCTGTAACTCCTACAAGATCAGAGGAGGAAAAGATTGAGGGATCTAGGGATGAGTATATTGGTACCACAGTCCCGGATGCTGAATTGAAAGACCCACAGTTGGCTGAATCTTCAGCTTCTTCTACCAGTACCTCCAGTGCCCACAGACTAGGTATCTTAAAGCGTCACCAGCATGATTCTAAGCTGGAAAAACTGAAGGAGCGGATTAGGAAGCAGTGGGAATTTCAAGAAGAACTGAATTGTCGAGGACAGTTTTGGGACTATGTTGATCATCCAGTAATCGTTGCAGCTGCAGAAAATACAGTAACTCCTAAAGTCAGAAAAGTGGCAGCTGCACCTCCTCCTCCCTCATATAAAGGTACGTAGTCTCTGACTTTGTGTAGACAAAGATAAATCTGTATCATTCTGTTAAGTTAGGCCACCAACTTCTGTTGCGATGCTTGCAGTGGTGGAGGTTAGAATTCTACCTGGTTGAAATATTTTAACATTCATAATGAGAGCCAGTTTGGTGTAGTGGTTAAGAGTGGCAGATTTTAATTTAGAGAACCGTGTCTGATTCCCCACTCCTCCACATGCAGCCAGCTGGGTGACCTTGGGTCAGTCACTGTTCTCTCAGAGCTGTTCGCTCAAGAGCAGCTCTCTCAGAGCTCTCACAGCCCCACCTACCTGACAGGGTATCTGTTGTGGGGAAGGGAAGGCGATTGTAAGCTGCTCTGAGAAGGGTGGGATATAAATCCAACTCTTCTTTCCTGGCTCTACTTGCATTTTTCTCCTTCTTGTACAGGTGTCGTATATTCAGTTGTACAGACAGGATCTGTTAGAATCTGTGTGGGAGGGAAAATGCCATTCCCTGTGGGCCCTATTTTCCTGCCTTCTTGTTCTGCCCCATAAACCTCCTGTTAAATGCTTTCTTCCAGCCCTCTGTGAACCCCAAGCCACCATCAGAGAGCCTACAGGCCAGCTGATCAGGGCTAGCTTGGTTCTCATGTCGTCTTCTCCTCAGGACCAATCTATCTAATCCCTCCTCCCATCCCCTGCTCTTTCCTGATGGGGGACCCATAATGACAAGTGCAGTTTTGGGTTGCTACCGATTTTGTCATTATCTGTGTTGGATATATTTGCTTGTAGATGTTTTGAAGTTATTTTAAGCTGTCAGTGATTGTCATAGCAATACAATGTTTTACCTGGAAGTCTGCACCGGCAAGGTGGGATACAAATTGAAAAGAATAAATAAATAATAAATAAATATTTCTGTTATATTAGTTTATTTGAAATTACTGGCTCTCTGCATGTGCACAACAGACATAAAATGTAATTTTGACGTTCAGGTGGATTTTTGGGAATCAGTAAAATGTTTTAAAGCTTCTCTGGTCCCATTTAGGGGGCTTGTTATTTGTGTAATGTCTCCTGCACCTTATTTTTGGGTACCTGATAATAAATGCTGTTTTTTTCTGTACAGAAATTCCTGAGTTCATGTGTTTATATAGTACAGATTTTATTCCTTAGGTTTCTTGACTTGTGGTATTAAACCGGTTAACTTTTGTGAGATGTTTAAAATATTACTTTCTCCTGGTATAATTAATGTCAGCCGCATAAAATGTTGACTTTTTTGGTTAATTTGTTAAATGGTTGGTTCAGTATGGCTTTGCTATTCTGTTAGGTTTCAATCCATCAGAAGCCAAGGTTCGTACTCCTGATGGAAAAGTGTGGCGTGAAGAAGAATTTCTCAATTTCAGTAGAGATCTATGCCGAGACTTGGCACTCCAGTTAGAAGGTAAGTAGCAAATCTAGGATGCATTCAGAATCAACCAAATTTTATATGCTTCTTCTCCTCTTTCCACTTCCAGTTTCCTCCAGCACAGAACGTGAGCATGGTAAATGATATTTGTGTGTCTGTGTTCTTCTGTTTTTCAGAAGACAGTTCTGCTGTGAAAGACATACCTGCTGAAAAAAGTAAGGAGCGAAAAGCAACCAAAACAGTGCGTAAAGTCCAGAAACTGACAGAGCTACCAGGTCCTGACTCCAAGCCAGGTGAATAAGTATTGCTTTTAACCAAGCACTTTGGCTTGTATTGCTTTTTAAATGGGGTTCAGTTCACAGTTTTCTTTTGTGTGTGTCAGCCACTATGGTAGATGTAATCCTTTCTCTTAAATACCTCCTTTATCTTGAAAGACTAAAAATCTATTCTATGCTGAGTAACTCCAGTCCAAGCCGGCTGAATTCAGTGGACTTAAACTAGACAGTGGTGCTCACTCTGCAGCTTGTGAAGAACCACCTTTGCAGTTAGCATCAATCAAAAGAGCCACACTTACTTCCACTCCTGGTATGAGGTCTGTACCTCAAGGACATTCATAACTTACCTGTTGCTCTGGCAGAAGCTGCGTTAAGGTGGAAATAATTTTTTAAAAAGATGGTGAAAGCCACCTGCCAGCCACAAGCTCTACTGGACCAAGGGCTTTGCCCACATTCCTTAAACAAGGGACAGGTGTCTCACTGAGGAATGGTGCTTAGAAGAGTCACCAGTGGCATGCTGAAGAGCCACACGAGTCTAGCATACTAATACTTCATAAACCAGGACACACTGAAAGATTAATGTGTATCTCATTACTGTTTGCTTGTTTTTAATTTAGGAAGTATGAATATAATAAGTGTGTCATCCTGGCGGGATGGACAAAGATTGGCAAAGAAGGTGCTGGGTCCACCGCCTAAACTACAGCAACAAGATAAACCATCATCATCTGCTGATAGAATTGGGAGGGATAGGTCCATTAAATCTGGTAAGCTGAGCTATATGTGGCATTCCCATTTTCTGCGTCTATGTTGTATTGAGTAACTGCAGAAAGTATCTTGTGCTGCAGAAAGTGGTTGATGAATTTCAGATTGGAAGAATTACCAATTTAAAAAATGACAGACGTCAGCAGACATTTGCTATATTGCCTTTTTTGCTGAAGGAAACACTTGTATAAAGCCGACTTCTTTATACTAAGATGGCAGACTTAACTACTTTAATGCATGTCCTCCATGACATTCACACATACTATAGGAAGTGATGCTGTGCTACAAAGTCTTGCATTGACAAACTCTCCGCTTTCTGATATGGGAGGCTGACAGTGCTCTGATTTTGTGATGTGTTCATGCACTCTTGTTTATGTATTATTTGAAATATGTGCTTAAATTAAATGAAGTTTTGAGAAACTTCATTTAATTAGAGGAAATCCTAATTTCCTCTTGTTGATTTTTGGCCACAGTACGAAGTCTCAGCCCTTGGGATAGGACAGGCTGCAAGTCAACGCAATTAAACTTTGGAAGAGTGCTTGTGCTACATTTCCTTCTTTCTCTGTGCTATGGTTTTATTATAAATTTATGTGGAAATCCAATAGCTTCCTAAGGGTTTTGTCCATTGTTTGAGGATATTTTCTTTATCTTTTCAGAGATTGCTGCTTGTCTAACTTTTTCTTTTCGTGCTCTGAAAAGAGTATTCTGAGTAGCTAGAGGTATCTCAGTGCTGAGAAGATAGCCCTAAAGGATACCTCTGTGGCCCATTGCATTGTTTGGTTTGTGTAACCTGTAAGATCAGTCTTGTAACAAGAACAGGGCTGGCTTTCCAACCTAGCAGGCACCTCTCTCATTGGTGCTTCTGTTTTTCTCTGCCCTGTCTTTTACTGGAACTCTAGGGCAGAGCAGCCCTCTGTAGAGGTATCCTGAAATAGTGGCATAAAAGTAGACTTTAAGCTAATAACTCCCCACAGTCTTGAATTAGGCAGTTGGCTTCTGAAACATTGACTAACCAAAGTTTGACAGTTCCCATCCCTCTACATGCTGAACATGCTCGGTATGTAACTGTTGAGCTCAACTGGCATGATGTTGTTTAGTTCATTTTTAATAATTGAAATGGCCCGTGGCCACGAGGCACTAGAACTTAACTAGCCGTATTTATCCTCAAGGGACTTCCAGAGATGAATAGGACTTTTCCTCTCACACATAAAATTAAAAGGATTAATTATAGTACCTCCCCAATGTACTTTTCAACTCTGCCTTCCTCAGCTATGGTCTGTTCAATATTCTTGGGATGGTGTTTTGTATGGCCCTTGGATCTGCTGTTCTTGGCATTCTGCTGCCAATGTTGTGTCCTACAGTGGCTGTTAATACCTTTAGGGGCCAATCCAATCTCTGTTTATTTTAGCAGGTGGAGTCTTGTGACTTCAGTTGGAGTTCTGTGTGCCCTGAATGCATTTTAACGTTTCATTTAGAAGATTTTATACTATGTATGTCCAACTCTTGTCAGTTTCCTTTCAAAAGCACCCACAAAGTAGTGCGCAGTAATCTCTTTGTTAATCTTATTTATCATGGCATGCGTATAGGTGCCACCTACAGTAATCTCTTTGTTAATCTTTATCATGGCATGCGTATAGGTGCCACCTAGCAACTGAGGGTCTTTCCAGACATTTGTGCAATTGTAACAAGACTTTTCTGATCTTTTCTATGGTGTGCTTTTCCCCTGCAAATGCTGGTGCTCCTGCACTACACAGGAGTATGTGGGCAGTGGGAGAGATAAATACCAGCAAAATAAACCTACTGTTTCTCCTCCCTGCAGCAGTGTTTCACTGTGTCATGAACCCGAAGGGGGAAAAGAGATTTTGCAATCTGTACTCTTTCTTTTTCCAGTGCTGAAGAGTCTGTCCTCCCCACCCCTTTTTCTAATGCAGCAAATATGACTGCGTCTGTGCCCTCAGCAAGGCTGTCTCTATGTGGAAACAGAATGTAGGGCTGGATCAGGACCAGCAAAGATACAGCCCTAGGGGTGCATGGGGGGGAAATTGGCTTTCTTCTTCTGAAAAACCTCAGTTCAGACTGAGTAAAGCTAAAGTTTATTTGAGGAGCAATCTAAAGAAGTTCTTATGATTGGTTATTCCATCTCAGTGTAAGCAGCAAAAATACCCACTTGATAGACTGCTTTAAACAGCATCTTGATACAAAATAACCCAAAATATCTTGAGAAGCTGTGCATGGGGTACAAGCTTGTTCTTAGTTTTACACATTGACAACTGAATTAGAGAATTTCATTTGTACCTGTGTTGGGTTCAGTTTGGAACCTTCCTGCCTACTTATACTGGTATGTGTACCAAAACAAAACAGGAGTCCAGTGGCACCTCAGAGACTAACATAATTTATTCCAATGTAAATTCTCATCCTAAAATGTCTCATCCTCACACCTCTGCTCCTTTCTTTCAGCTGGGTGGAGTTACTTTCTCTTTGCCTTGATGTATCTTTGGCTTCTCCTTTCCCCCACTCTTAAGAACTCTGAATACTTAGAAGCGAAAATAGTCAAGATGTGAGAATTAATTAGGAGTGGAGCAAAAGGGTTCTTTCTGCCTGTCTAAATTGCAAAGCCTTTCTCCTAAAACAGTTTAAACTGTGTGGGAGGCTGCACCCCCTAAGAGGTTAAAGTATCCTGAAATGGGCAGCAGAATTATTTATTGACTCATTTAAATATTTATACCCTTGCTTTACACCCTTGCTCAAGGTGACTCACAATTTTGAAATAAAACCATAAGTAACACAATAAACCCCATTACCCCCAACACACACCTGGAAACACCTTCAGCTATGATTGGGATATGCCCTTATAGCATATGGAGGAGGAAAGAAGTGTGCCCATCCTGTATTGTACTAGTCAGGTTTGGGGCTAGCTGAGGAGCTTCCTGCTTGCTTAGCCCTAAACTTCAGCAGGTAGACCATATTGAGTAATTATACTGTAGTACTAAACTGCTGAGGGAGTGATTGAAAGTAGAAGAAGAGGAGACTGGATTTATACCCTGCCCTTCACTCACAGTCTCAGAGCGGCTTACAAACTCCTTTCCCTCCCCCTCCCCACAACAGACACCCTGTGAGGTAGGTGGGGCTGAGAGAGCTCTGACAGAAACTGCTCTTTTTCAAGGGCAGCTCTTATCAGAACTGTGGCTTGCCCAAGGTCATCCAGCAGCTGCAAGTGGAGGAGTGGGGGATCAAACCTGGTTCTCCTAGATTAGAGTCCACGCGCTTAACCACGACACCAAACTGTAGCCCCAGAACAGTCAAGTTTTGTGCTATTTTATTCCAGGTAGGGAGATTTTCCCAGTAGTTTATCTTCATCATGATTCCCAACTTCTAAAGGCTATCAACCAATTCATTTTAATGTATCACCAATGGAAGGCTTTTTTTTGATGTGTTCCTGTTGTTTGTAGCTAGCTCCTCTGCAGAGTTTGCTTGAATGCCCCAGACCTCTCTTGTATTTCTAAAATATTGTAACGGAGGGATTAAATGTCTTTTTTTAAAAAAATGTGGGAATTCAAATAACCAACCTCACACAGCCTTTAGATAATCCAAAGTGAAATATTTCTGACACTTTCCCCTCTTCTAGAATCTCACTTTGTGAAGACAGAATCTGATCCCATGCAGGATGTAGTCATAAAACCCAGCTCAAGAAGTCCTAAACGATCCCAGAGTAAAATAAGGAGGGAGAATAGCTTGAGGAAGAGAGATGCTGCTCTTAAGAACACTAAACAGAAGGATGACCATGTAAATAAGGACTTCTTGCCAGTGGAGATCCAAGGGATTCTTGATGACCTACAGCTGGATTCTGTGGCTCAGCATACAAAACAAGAGATGGATGAAGAACATCCAAGTTCAGAAGTGCCTGCTGCATTTACCAAGAGCCACAGCCCAACCAAGAGAAAACCAGACAAAATGGGTACCAATGAAGAGTCTCAAGTCACTTCTAAAAAACGCCACTATGACACAGACGAGGTTCGTCAGTATATTATTAAACAGCAGGAAGAGAGGAAGAAGAAGCAGAGTGAACAGAAGAAAGCACAGAAGGAGGCAACAGAACAGAGGAACAAGAGACTTCAGGAACTGTACAAGAAACAGAGAGAAGCTCTTGCTAATAAGCCAAAGAGTGCATCAGCTCCTGAGCTAGTCCCCAAGCAGCTACAGGAGACTTACTCCAAGTTGCTCCTAGATCAAGCCTTGCTGGAGAAGCCACAGCCCCCACTCAAACAGGACATACAGGTATAGTCATTTGGGGGAAGGAATGACTTCTTGCTGTTTCAGAGTTTAAATTTTCAGAGTGGAAATTAAGAACAGTACAAAAAGATTGCCGGGGGAAATGGCAGTTCTTGAAGATCCTGAGTTAGTAGCCTGAAAATTTTCTTCAAAACAGCATACAGGGTGGGTGGCAGCAACCGGCGTGATGGGTAACTTCTTGTACTTTTCCTAATATCTAGTTTGGAAAATTCTAAAAAGTGAATAGAAGTTGACTAGCACCTTTCTTGACCCATACAGTTAAATCACAGTACATATATCACTGCAGGATTGTCATGTTAATGTGTAGCAGGAGAATGTCTCAAAAATATTAGACAAGAATTTGGCCACAGATCACGTAACTGCAGGACTAACATCAGCCAAGAAAGAGGGAAACTACCTGAGGTTTGATGGCAAGTTGGTGCTTGCTCAAAATGGGGAAAATCCAAAGCTCTCACAGTGAGGACTACTGGTCACAGAGTAACAAAACATGAGCAGTGGTCTCAATCACGCCAGAGGCACAACAACAGAGGCAGCCAGAGAATGGAATATTAGGGTACTGCCCCTTCAGTTTGGCTGTAGGCAAAGCATTCAGTCTACCTAGTATAAATGCATTGTGGTTGCTAGGAACAGTAAGATATTTTACAAAACAAAATGTCAGTGCTAGAATTTTATTATTCTTTCTTATCCTAGTTTAAAATGTTTGTTTATTTATCTGTCTATGCCCTGCCGTTCTTCCAAATAGAAACCCAAAGCAGCTTGCATTTCCCCCTCCTGGGCATTTGAACCTGGGTCTCCCAGATCCTGTTCCAGTGCTAACTGCTAACCACTAACTACGCTAGCTCTAAAAAAAAAATTCCAGGTGTTGGAACAAATACCCAATTGACTGAGCCAATTTTCTTTTCGACTCACTCTGTCTCGTTTATTGCCTTTAAATTATTCTTATTATTATACTATATAATAATTATAATTATGATATAATTATAATTATTATATATAATTATTCTTATTATTATCTTAAATTATTCTTTTCTCAAAGGGAATTTCTCCCTTTGAGAAGGTGGGAATTTTTAGGATTTAGTGATTACAGAAACTTGATGATTGACAACCAAGTAATCCTGTATAGTCATATCGAAGATATTTAAGAACCTAGTATTTCAGAATTTGAATATCTCCAAGTCAGAGTCTACCTTTAGAAAATGCTATTTTAAGGCCTACAATAGGGTTTGAGGAACTGCTTTTAGCAGATGGTAAAAGTTTTATTTCCACAATGTATTCTTGTTTATTGAAAATTATGCTCAAACTTGTGAACAAAACTTTTGCAGTAGGTGGCAAAAAAACGTGGGTAACAACTTACATGATTTAACATGGAATTCTATGTACCTTTAGAGAGAGCCTGTTGAATATGATTTACAGGTGGCATTTAATTCCTTTAAAGTTGGCAAAGATCTATAAGACTGGTACCAACATATGCTGGTTCTATAAAAAAGACAAGGCAGATTTCTTTCACATGTGGTGGGCATGCCTCCAGTTACAGGAAACAAGTGGTGAAAATTATATCAAATGGGTTGGAAAAATAAATCCCCTATAAACCAGAGAGCCTGCCGCTGAATTACTTACCTGATATCCCTAGAGATCAGCAAATGGTTGCTTTACATATGATTACTGCTGCCAAGCTTCTTTTTGCCAGGCAATGAAAACAAAAAATTGTCCCTAAACTGCAAGACTGGTTGTTGAAAATAAAGGAAATCGATACTTTAGTGAAATCAACCTTTTATCAGAAGAATAGAGATACATTATAGAGTAGACCTTTTATGGTCATGAGCGATACAAAGAATGGAACTGGCAATTGTATAATTGAAAATAGTATTAATATTGTCATTAACATTGCTGTTGAAGGGTTTTCTGTCTCCATGGAAGTAGGACGAAAGGGGGCTTAGACTGGCAATGTATCTTATGGACTTCTTGTATTTTTTGTATATATCTGTAATTTGTTTATTTTAATAACATTTAAAGAGTTAAAATTATTCTTCTGTTTTATTAACATATTTTCACTTCCTTCCTAGCCCAAACCTGGGTATCAGCCATCTGGAGAATCTGACAAGGAAAACAAGGCACAGGAACGTCCGCCTAGTGCTTCCTCCAGTAGCGATATGTCTCTATCTGAACCTCATCGTACTCTTGCCAGGTAAGACAGCAGGGGCGCGATCACATGCACAATTAGCCCTGCCATATGCGCGAATGCTGGGCAGATTTAAAGGGCACGATCAGACACGAACATCTGAGAAGCGCCCCGCACCCGTCGGCAACCCGTTTTGCTCTGCCGCAGAAGTGGAGTAAAAAGACACCAGGGAAAGTCCGGTAGCAAACGGGTTGCTACGGGCCACAGACGGACTTTCCCCTCTGACCACTCCAGTGCGCTCTCATGGCGTCGGGATGGTCTGATCAGGCCATCCCGACTCCGTGCCATTGCCCCCCCCCCTTCTCAGTATTCGCATCATCGCACACTCCGGAGCCCTCAGTGCTGAGATGCAATTCATCAGTTTCCTATTTAAGTGCATCGGGAACAAACAGCAAAAAAATAAATAAATCCCAACTCACCCGCTGTTGTGTCTGATCAGGCAGTGGCGGGCTGCCCCCACAGCTTCAGAGGATTGTGTGATCGCACAACTGCGGGTCAGATTCCTCCAGAGGAAATAGCCTTGCTTCCCCCCCCCCCGCATTATCTCGCGTGTGTGACCGCCACCCAGGAGTACTTTTTAAAGCCTACCAAAGTAAAGGTATCTTCAAAGCTTTTCCTAAGAAAAACTGTTGTATTGTAGGTGACTAGCATTTTCCTGCAGTTTCAGCTCCATTATACCTTCTCTAAGCCACACTGCCATGGTGGTGGCGGCAGTGCTTGGAGGAAAAGGTGTTTAAAGTGACTCATGGACAACTGGTGATGTGACGCACCTTGTTCTTAACTCCTTTCCCCTTCAGTGTAAGGGAAATTAGTAAAAAAACACCAGGTTGGAATATTCTGTTTACTGACTATAAGGATTTTTGTGTATATGAATCAAGTTTTCCCAGACACTGTTCTTGTAAACTTATGAGTGTTTAATCACTTGTTTTCTAGGAATAATTTGTTGGAGCCTGTATGGATTCAGCCAGATAGACTGAGCTCAAAATCCCAGCCACCTTGCCCACAATCTTCTGCTGTCTTGAGTGGAGGTCTCTTTTCCCAACTTCTGTCCATAGATCACATGAGTGTCTTACAAAAGGATTTTGACTCTGTGTTATCAACTAGGAGGAGCCACATCACAACTATGGGATCCATGCCTTTGACGTCTCAATCAGTTATACCATCTACTATACAACCCACCATCAATCAGTATAAAAGTAAGCTGGACCGTATTGAAGCCCTGAAAGCAACGGCAGCTTCTTTGTCAAGCAGAATTGAAAGTGAAGCCAAGAAGTTAGCTGGAACTGGCATTGATTATGGAGCAGCGTGGAACTCCGGACATGACTTGGTGCAAGGAGATCAGGGTGATGGCTACTGGGCAAAGGCCAGCAGTCCCCCTGTGAAGGAAGAGAATGATGTTTTCTCAACCAGGCTTCAGGAGATGTTGAGTACCTGTGTGTGTCAGACAACTTTTGACGATAACCTTCCTGGGGTGGGAAATCTTAGTGAGTTTAAAAAACTCCCTGAGACCATCAGCCCTCACACTGCTGCTCTCAGCCTTCCATGCAAACAGAGATCTGAAGAAATAGTAGGAAACCTATCCAAGAAGTCAAGCAGCTTTCCTAAGGCTGAGAGTAAAGTTTTAGCTCGGGATGATTGTAGCACAGACTCAATAAGCGAGGGGCCTCTCAGTGATCATCTCCTGTCTGAGGAGGAGGGAGACCAGCGAGAGCACTTACCTTTGAAGACAGCTGAGATGCTGAAGGAAAAAGAGTTCTGTGCCGCAAACAGAACTGGCTATGAGCCCATAGAACAATTTCAGAAAGAAGCAGAAAAGTACTTACCCATTTCCACACAGACGAGGGGTGTTCCAAGGCCCTGGGAAGGCCTGACCAAAGGAAGTCCACACAGTGTCATCAACATTTTTACAAAATCTTATCAGCTATATGGGAAAGGTAAGAAAAATAGATATATGAGAAATCTGTTGCTGTCCCTGGTATTTGTTGGTAACTGCTTGAATACTGGGTTTTTGTAAAAGAAATAAACTCTGAGTTTTAATTTGCTGGAGTGTAGGG